AAAACTTCGTGTCGGTAATTTTTTTTAAAATTCGGGAAATAGAGAGCCACACGCAAAACTTTTCCCCCCCCCCCCCCCCCCCCCACACGTAAGAGCAGGTTCAGGAATAGTATTAAAAAGCTTTGTTTGCATAAGCAATTAAACGTTATGTATGTAGTACCGTATTTAACGCAGTGGATTATTCCAATTTTGACAATTATTATTAGTGAGCAACTTAGTGTTTGTCTGCAATAGTAAGAATATACAAAACCGGCTGCGAATATAACCATGCCTACATCAACACAAAACACGAGTGAGAATATCCTTCATCAATGCTTTTACGCAATCAATAATCTACGTCATTCACACCTAGCTGTCACATGATTATAAAATTACTCGTAAACTTTTCTAACTTGTCTCGAAACGGTTTAATATTATATTAAAGCTAAACGTGTGATTATTAAATACTGAATTATAATATCATGATCTGTGTTTTTATATTCGCCGATTTTACTTAAACAGTCTACATCGAGGTTGTATATGATAATTGGAAGCTCCCACAAGAATAATTTTGATTGGAAGCTTATCATTTGGTTTGTCATAGAATTGATTTGATGTTGCATGCTTTACTCAATTTTCTTCAATTCAGATAAAGAACGCGGGACTGCCACCAGTTTAATTGGTTGTGGCCTGCAGTATTCATGCAGGGCTACGTAATACTATGGGCTATGGAGCAGTTATCCACATGTATATACATGTAATATGTAGAAGGATTAGCATAATCATTCCAACAACACATGTACCTGCGGGTATGTAATGCCAGTTTGGGTCTTGAATGTTGTTGATCTCATGCTTTTAGAATTTTGTACCACAAAACTTGTAATGAAATCGATCTCACCCTTTGTGCAACACATTTTACCATTTTCGATCATCTTCAGATGTTCTGGATACCCGCATCCTGCTTCCCCAAACCTGTACGACGTTTACCCCCCATCCCCTAATTGGTGTTATAAGAATCAATTCTCTCCTTGTTATGCCGACTAGTTCACGACAACGTTTCTAACGTTTGTCGCATAAAAAAATTTTTACTTCGGATCGGATAATATGGAAGAAGACCCAGCAAGCGGTGCTGAGACGCCGCAAAATAATAATGGAGCGACTGCTTCACTAGCCGTATTCGAACCTATATTATTACAAGAATATCTGGACAAACTTTTACCTTTGTTACTTGGGACAGAAGAAAAAGAACTCGCCGCTTTATGGCTTCACGAAAATGTAGAACTGTTACGAAAATTTGCGAATGATACGTCATTAGACGCTATTTATTTATCAAAGATACTGGGTATGTGAAACAACCATTTGACTATAATTATTGGCGAGCAACGGTAGACTGCGCGTCTGCCGTATCCTATTTCGTGAAATTGTGTTAGATAACAATGATTTTGTTAGTGAAGTGATCGATCCGGCAAAAATTCTTTATGTAACAAACTTTATCGTTAATCTTCAATTGTTCCTCAAACGCCTATTTTCTTTTCTGTATTTCCAGATGATCCGTCTATTCCTTCTCACAAGTATTCGTTAAGTCAAGAAATATCATATGGACCAAATTATGTGGCCTCCATTGCCTTAATAAAAGAAGTGCCATCACTCGATCCTGGCCGTCCTCTTGGCAATCAAATCCAAATAACTAACCTCCCTGGGCCTGCGGCTACAGAATCCGGCATAGCTGGTGTTAGTCCCTACGAGGCACTCCACTCGTACATCCATCACGCTGTTGCGCCGTATTTCAATGCATACGTTAGCGCCAAGGGGGGTAATGCCGAGACGGGAATCAGAACCAAACAAGATGATTTGAAAATGGGTATTCCTATGGCGAAGAAGAAGATTGCCGAATTAGAGTTGGCATTGTTACATTTGCAACAGAATGTGGAAATACCGGAAATCGTTTTAAGTATTCATCCTGTTGTATCGGAAGCTATTAAAAAGGTAAGAAGAAAAAATTGGTGTGTTTGATATGTCGATGATGGTATTGAAGATCGGTTCAAGTTGGTCTTTTTTTGTAAACGCTGCTTAATAGTATCTAGTTTTGCAGTTGAGCTTATGCTGATGCTGACAAACTTTATTTATACCTCTTTTCTCGTATTCAGTGCAATGCCGAGGGTACCCGCCTCACGGTTGACGTAATAGAACCTAAATTATTAACCGAAAGCACGTTCCTCAATAAGCTCCAAAATGATGTTAATGGTTGGATCAAAGAAATCCAAAAGGTCACCAAGCTAGACCGAGACCCCGCTAATGGAACGGCTATTCAAGAAATAAACTTCTGGCTTAGTATGGAGAAAGCGCTAGAAGGCATCGAAAAACAACTCAAGAGTGAAGAAGTGACGTTTACAATAGAGCTGTTGAAAACGGCCAAGCGTTTTCATGCGACTACATCATTCTATGCTGACACTCGACTAAAAGAAGCGACCGAGAAAGTTCACAGATACAATCAACTCATGAGAGACTTTCCTCTGAATGAACTATTGTCTGCTACGGATGTTAGCAAAGTCAGAGATTCTCTACGTCAGATTTTCAATCACTTGAATAAAAAGTTGAAATTATCACCCTATCCAATCAAAAAGGCACTTCACCTTGTCGAGGCGATTTCCCGCGATCTGAACGACCAACTTCTCAAGGTCTTGGGCAATCGTCGGTTAATGTACGCTGATTACGATGACTTTGAAAGGCTAATGTCCAGTGCTGAAGAGGTGTTCTATACATGGGATGAATGCATGAAAGATTTCACAAATGTAGCTCGCGATATAGCTCGCAAACGTTCCGAGAAACGCTCCGAAAAATTTACCCGTATTCAGATAAACCCTGCTCACGCTAAATTACATGAACGTGTTTCATTTGTCAAGAATTTCCGCAAGCAACACGAACAATTACATCAGACAATTGTCAAAGTCATGACACAGCCGAAAGGGGTTACAAAGATTATCGTGGAAGATGACGCTAATTCAGTTCAGCAACAAGAAGAAAGTGTTAGTATGAGTGATATCGATTCCATCGAGGAAGTAAGACAGGCATATGAGAGTTTGAAAGATATAAATGTACTTGACGTTTCACCCGAGGGAACCGAGATATGGACGGATGCCGAAAATTTATACAATGAGCGTGTGTCAAGAGTTGAGACTCAGATCATTACGCGATTGAGAGATCGATTGGGGACCTGTAAGAATGCAAATGAGATGTTTAGAGTGTTCTCGAAGTTTAATGCATTGTTTGTCAGACCAAAGGTGAGCTACATTTGCGTTGGCGAAAGTTCACGGTTTAATCGGCAATTTAACTAATCAGTCGAACTCTTAATATTCTAACAGATTCGAGGTGCCATTCAAGAGTATCAAACTCAATTGATTGATTCTGTCAAAGACGATATCCAAAAACTTCATAATAAATTCAAAATGCAATATCGGCGCGCTGAATCATTCCATATGGCTCAACTTCGCGACTTGCCTGTTGTTTCGGGGGCCATGATTTGGGCTCGTCAAATCGAACGTCAGCTACAAACGTATATGAACCGTGTCGAAGATGTGTTGGGTAAAGGATGGGAGAACTATGCCGAAGGAGAGAAACTACAAACAGAAAGCAATAATTTCCGAAAGAAGTTGGATACTAAACCTATATATGACGCCTGGATCAAGGATATCAATAACCGTGATCTTAGTGTTTCTGGGAAATTGTTCGAAATCACCAAGAATCGCGCCGCAAACAATCAACTTCAACTCAGTGTTAACTTTAACCCTCAGATTATTACACTTTTCAAAGAGGTGCGAAATCTTCTGTGGCTGAATTATCATGTGCCTCATGCAGTCAGTAATGTTGCCAAGGATGCAAAACGCGTATATCCGTTTGCCGTGAGTCTGATGGAGACTGTTAGAACTTATCAGCAGACGATTGATAAAGTCAAGCAATATGAGAATGAAATCGCTATCCTCGTGGCCAGTTACAGAACTGAAGTGCAAGCCAAAATCGCTACCGGTATCAATTATAAATGGGACTACTTTGTCAACACATACGATCCTCATTATCGACCACATATGGCTACTGGTGCTTTGGAACCAAGAGAAGATCGGCACATCACTTTCGTCAAAGAGTTCGCTGACCTGGTTTCTATATTTCAAAGTAAAGTTGATGCGTTAATTACTGATTATGAAGAGATTCAGAGATCCATTGAAGACTTGCGAGTATGTCCATTTGACGTTGAAAAGTTTAGAGAACATTTGGATAAGATTCAAAAGAAGGTATGACTTTATCATTCTTCTGACGTTTTTAGTTCTGGTAAGTACCTAACGAACTTTGTCTTGCAAATTGCTCAACAAAGGTGGATCGCTTGAACCTCGAGGGATACTCCAACTTGAACAATTGGGTTAATAGACTTGACAAACAAGTCGAGCAAGTTCTCCTCACGCGTCTGCAACAAGCCGTCAAAGCCTGGACAGAAGAATTTCTTCGCTATGGAGCCGATTCAACTACTGTTGACTCAACTTCACGTGATCGAGGAAAATCCACAAAAGGCAAGCGTCGTAATGTCAAATCAGAGGTTGAAGCGGATGATAAACAAACATCAGAGATGAAGCCGAAATTCAAGGCCTGGGAACATGAGATTATTATTCGAAATCAGGTCATCCATCTAAGGCCCCCGATTGAAGAGGCCAGGGCTCATTGGTATAGGCAATTACACGAATGGCTTGCAGTCGTCTGCAACTTACCAAGAATTCAAGCTACGCGATATGATATAGAATTGCCAGTAATTAACAATGTATCCGAAGAGACCAGTTTCGCGAGCTTATTGACCGAAATTCCCGAAGGATTACTCGCAAAGGCTTACGAAATTATTGAAGAGAAGTTGAAAGAAGTTACCAAATATGTCAGCAAATGGCTCCAATTTCAGTCTCTCTGGGATCTTGAAGATACAGACGTATACAAACGCCTTGGCGACAACCTTAATGAATGGCAAAAGATTCTCGCTGAACTCAAGAAGTCTCGCACTACATTTGACAACTCGGAGCAGGAACGCTCATTTGGTCCAATAGTTGTTAATTACGGACAAGTACAGAGTAAAGTTGGCGACAAGTATGACTTCTGGCAAAAGGAAATACTGAGGAACTTTGCAAGCAAACTCGGCGATTCAATGGGCCAATTCTATACAGAGGTTGCGAAATCTAAAGATGATCTTGAAAACTACGCAAAGGAAAGCAAGATCACTGGTGTATCGGTTGCCTACGTTACTCTTGTCCAAGATTTAAATGTTAAAATTGCCAAATGGGATCAGGAAATCAATGTATTCCGTAACGGAGAAAAGACCCTTAACCGTCATCGATATACTTCTAATGACGATCGATTATCAATTGGCCGAATTGAAGGTGCTTGGGACGGTCTGAATCAACTTCTCAAAGTCGCAAATCTAGTTATCAAGGAACAACGCGAACGGCTTCAGAAACAACTTGAAGACGAAGACCGTCTTATCGAAGCCAATATCAAGGAAACTCTCACTGAATGGGCAGATAAGAGACCAATTCAAGGAGACATAAAGCCTGATGTTGCTCAAAAGACTCTCAGCGATTTCGAAAAACGCTTCAATGATCTCAAGACTAAATTCGACGCTAACTGTCGTGCGAAGTATGCCTTACATCTTGACCTTGTTTCCGAAAGTCAGTTGGATCCGGTGTTGGAAGAGCTTGACGCTTTTAAGGCTGTTTGGAATTCTCTAGGAAAGGTTTGGCAGTCTATAGACGATACAAAAGAACAGTTATGGTCATCCGTTGTGCCGCGTAAGCTTCGTCAGCAATTGGATAATTTATTGAATTCAACTAACCAAATGAATACAACTACAAGACAATACGCTGCCTTTGAATATTTGCAAGAGACGCTGAAGGGGTATATCAAAATAAATCCAATTTTGTCAGACTTGAAATCAGATGCGTTGAAAGAAAGGCATTGGAAACAGTTATTCAAAACTTTGAGAGTCGAAAACAGATGGATGTTTTCTGAAATGACAGTAGGCAACATTTGGGATATGGATTTGCGCAAAAATGAAACGACGGTCAGAGAGATTATAACCCAAGCTCAGGGCGAAATGGCTTTGGAGGAATACTTGAAACAGGTATGTTTTTGTCTGCATTTTTTATTGCATTACTCGTTGGAAAACTTCGACTCAATACGTTGTCTATGTAGGTGCGGGAGACATGGAAGAATTACATGCTCGAACTTGTTAATTATCAGAACAAAACCCGCTTGATTAGAGGATGGGATGACTTGTTCACAAAGTGCAGTGAGAATCTTAATTCTTTGACGGCGATGAAAATGTCACCTTATTATAAATCGTTTGAGGAGGAGGCCTCGTCCTGGGAAGATAAACTTAACCGTATCCACGTTTTATTCGATGTCTGGATTGATGTACAGCGTCAATGGGTGTACCTCGAGGGTATATTTAGTGGTAGTGCTGATATCAAACACCTTCTTCCAGTTGAAAGTCAACGGTTTGCCAATATCAATTCGGAATTTCTGACTGTAATGAAGAGAGTCAACAAATCACCGTGCGTCATGGATGTCCTTACGATACCCGATGTCCTAAAATCATTAGAACGTTTGGCCGAACTGTTAAACAAAATTCAAAAGGCACTTGGTGAATATCTTGAACGGGAGCGTTCTTCGTTCCCACGTTTCTATTTCGTCGGTGATGAAGATTTACTCGAGATCATTGGTAACTCAAAGGACGTCGTTCGTATTCAAAAGCATTTCAAGAAAATGTTTGCTGGTGTGTCAAACATTATCTTAACCGAAGAGAATACCGTAATTTCCGGCATGGCATCTCGCGAAGGAGAAGAAGTATATTTCAAGAAGCCTATATCTATCAAAGAGAATCCAAAGATCAATGACTGGTTGACAATGATAGAGAAAGAAATGAAGGTCTCGCTGGCAATTTTGCTAACGGATGCCGTCACCGAAATGAATACGTTTTATCTTGCAGATGATTTGGACACTAACGTTTTCTTGGATTGGATTGACAAATATCCGGCTCAGCTAGTTGTAGTGGCCATACAAATTATTTGGACACAATCGGTTGATAAAGCTCTTACGACCATGTCTGAAGGTGATCAAAATGACCAAACTCCAATGAATAACGCTCTAGGATACGTTCTACGCGGACTTGAGGTTTTGGCCGATACTGTATTACAAGATTTACCTCCTACCAAGCGAAAGAAATGCGAGCATCTTATTACTGAACTTGTTCATCAGCGTGACTTGCTCCGTCAATTGATTCGCAACAAAGTCTCAGGACCGAAGGACTTTGAATGGCTATACCAGATGAGATTCTATTTCAACAAAGACGCAGAAGACCCATTAGTACGTTTGGTCATTAACATGGCTAATGCTCAGTTCTATTATGGATACGAATACCTTGGTGTCCCAGATCGTCTTGTGCAGACTCCTCTTACTGATAGATGTTACCTCACGCTCACACAAGCTTTAGAGGGTCGTCTGGGTGGATCACCATTTGGACCCGCCGGTACTGGCAAGACAGAGTCAGTTAAAGCATTAGGTGTTCAACTTGGCCGGTTTGTGCTGGTATTCTGTTGTGACGAAAATTTCGACTTTCAAGCTATGGGTCGTATATTTGTTGGTCTGTGCCAAGTTGGAGCATGGGGCTGCTTTGATGAATTTAACCGACTTGAAGAAAGAATTTTGTCGGCTGTATCACAGCAAGTGCAGACTATTCAGCTTGGTCTCAAAGCTGCCAAGGATAACCCAAATACAGAGATCGAGATTGTAGGAAAGAATCTGAAAGTCAATACCAATACGGGTAAGTTAATGATATTTATGCGTCAGTATGCTTTATAACAATTTTTAAAACCTTATCTTTGTTTTTTCTTAAAATCACAGGTATCTTTATCACCATGAATCCTGGATATGCTGGCCGTTCTAACCTACCCGATAATTTGAAGAAATTATTCAGAAGCATCGCCATGACGAAACCAGATCGCGAACTTATCGCTCAAGTGATGTTGTATTCACAAGGCTTCCGTACTGCTGAAATTCTTGCTTCCAAAGTCGTTCCTCTATTTAATCTGTGCTCCGAGCAACTGTCTCCTCAATCTCATTATGACTTTGGTCTTCGTGCACTCAAAAGTGTACTCGTAAGCGCCGGTAACCTGAAACGTGAGCGACTACATAATCTTCGAAAAATGATTCAAGAAGGAACAAAGACAGAAGACGAGTATTCGAAACTTTCCGAACCTGTTCCTGAACAAGAAATATTGATTCAAAGTATCCGTGAAACTATTGTACCTAAATTGGTTGCCGATGATATTCCACTGCTGACCAGGTATTGTTGGGAATTTTTATCGGTGGTAATTATATTTGTTATTCATGTCGGCTAATCGTATCATTCGTTTTATTTAGTCTGGTTGCGGACGTCTTCCCCGGAGTAGAATATGCACCGGTCGATCTCGATAGACTCAAAGAAGAAATCATTAAAGTTTGTGGCGAACGCCGCCTTGTTGATGGGGAGCTTTGGATGGAGAAGGTTCTTCAACTTTATCAAATTCAAAACATTCACCATGGTCTGATGATGGTAGGACCTTCGGGTTCTGGCAAGTCAATGGCTTGGCAAGTGTTACTGTCTGCCTTGGAACGAGTTCAGGGAGTTGAAGGTATGTCATATGTGATTGATCCGAAAGCTGTATCCAAGGACGCTCTGTATGGTACCTTGGATCAAACCACCCGTGAATGGACAGACGGGTTGTTCACTCATATACTTCGTAAGATTATTGATAACGTACGTGGCGAGAGCAACAAGCGGCATTGGATTATCTTTGATGGTGATGTGGATCCCGAGTGGGTTGAGAATTTGAATAGTGTACTGGACGACAATCGTTTGCTTACTTTGCCAAACGGAGAGCGGCTTAGTCTACCTGGAAACGTTCGTATTATGTTCGAAGTTGAAACGCTTAAGTATGCAACTTTGGCTACAGTCAGTCGCTGTGGTATGGTTTGGTTCAGTGAGGAAGTTGTTACTTTGCCAATGATTTATACCAATTACTTGGAGACGTTAAAGAATGTTGCTTTGGATGATAATGAGGAAGATGGAATGCCAAAAGGACGTGACAATGAAGAGAGTGTTTCACCTAATCTTTTGACACAAGCAGCAGTTGCAAATATTCTTGCCCCACATGTCAGCGAAGATGGGTTTGTTACGAAAGTACTTGAACATGCTGAGACTCTTGAACACATTATGGACTTTACCCGTATGCGCGTTTTAAATACACTCTTCTCCCTGCTCAACAAGACGGCTCGAAACGTGATTGAATATAATGTTCATCATCCTGATTTCCCAATGTCACAAGAACACATGGAAGCTTATGTTGTCAAGCGTCTGGTTGTTGGTGTTATCTGGAGTTTCTCCGGTGACGCAAAACTGGATTTGCGGGCTAAATTGGGAGACTATGTACGCGGAATCGTAACCATCGATCTTCCGCCTGCCAGCCCTGGATCATCCATTATCGATTATGATGTTCAAGTCAGTAATGGCGAATGGGTTCCATGGACAAGTAGAGTACCGACAATTGAAATCGAAACACACACTGTTGCGGAAGCTGACGTCATTGTTCCGACGGTTGATACTATAAGACATGAAGAAGTGCTGTATTCATGGCTGTCTGAACATAAACCTCTAATTCTTTGTGGTCCTCCAGGATCAGGAAAGACAATGACGCTTTTCAGCGCACTTAGAAAGTTACCAGATATGGAAGTCGCCGGTCTCAATTTCTCCAGTGCAACTACACCGGAACTTATCTTGAAGACTTTTGATCAGTACTGCGATTACCGAAAGACACCCACTGGCGTTATTTTATCACCCAAAGCAATAGGTCGATGGATTGTCGTATTTTGCGACGAAATTAATCTTCCAGCCACAGACAAGTATGCTACTCAGCGCGTGATTTCATTCTTAAGACAACTAATCGAATATGGAGGATACTGGAGAACTTCCGATAAAGCATGGGTCAAGCTTGAACGTATTCAATTTGTCGGTGCTTGTAATCCCCCAACCGATCCTGGTCGAGTGCCGCTTACTCACAGATTCCTACGTCATGCCCCATTAGTTATGGTTGATTATCCTGGTGAAATATCTCTCAATCAGATTTACGGCACATTCTCGCGTGCTATGTTGAAGGTTGTTCCATCGCTACGTGCATACGCTGAACCGCTCACTGCTGCTATGGTTGATTTATATCTTATGTCACAGAAGAGGTTTACGCCAGATATACAAGCTCACTACATATACTCACCTCGTGAGTTGACGCGTTGGATGAGGGGTATCTTTGAAGCTATTAAACCGATGGAATCTCTCTCAGTGGAGGGTCTCGTTCGTATTTGGGCGCATGAAGCTTTGCGCTTGTTCCAAGATCGTCTTGTAACCGAAGAAGAACGCAAATGGACTGATGACAACATTGATGCTATTGCCATGAAGCACTTCCCCAGTCTCAACCAAGACGAAGCACTGGGTCGACCGATTTTATTCTCGAACTGGTTATCGAAGTATTATATTCCTGTTGACCGTGAAGAACTGAGAGATTACGTGAAAGCTCGTCTCAAGGTCTTTTATGAGGAAGAATTAGATGTACCACTAGTATTGTTTAACGATGTGTTAGATCATGTGCTTCGAATTGATCGTGTATTCCGTCAAATGCAAGGTCATTTATTGCTGATTGGTGTCAGCGGATCTGGTAAAACAACTCTCTCAAGATTTGTTGCTTGGATGAACGGATTAAGTGTATTCCAAATCAAAGCGCACAACAAATACACAGGCGAAGATTTCGATGAAGATTTGAGAACGGTTTTGCGGCGGGCTGGATGTAAAGGAGAGAAAATATGCTTCATAATGGATGAATCTAATGTGTTAGACTCTGGGTTCTTAGAACGTATGAACACTCTTCTGGCGAACGCTGAAGTTCCTGGTTTATTCGAAGGTGACGAACACAATGCTCTTATGACGAGTTGCAAAGAAGGTGCTCAGCGAGATGGATTAATGTTGGATACCCACGAAGAGTTATACAAGTGGTTTACTCAACAAGTTATGAAGAATCTTCACGTTGTCTTCACAATGAATCCGCCAGAAGGTGGTTTGGCGTCTCGTGCTGCTACTTCACCAGCGTTATTTAATCGTTGTGTCTTAGATTGGTTCGGTGATTGGTCCGACCAAGCTTTCTTCCAAGTCGGTATGGAGTTCACGCAAAATCTTGATTTAGATCTTCAATCATATTCCCCTCCTGCAAATTTCCCGATTGTCTACAGAGGTTTGAGCATGCCACCACTCCACCGACATGCTATAGTTAATGCATTTGTTTATGTGCACCAATCCTTATATGAAATCAATGCTAAACTGAGCAAGCGACAAGGCAGATACAACTATGTCACGCCTCGTCATTTTCTGGACTTTATCAATCACTATGTACGTTTGTTTAATGAGAAACGAGAAGACCTAGAGGAACAACAACGCCATTTAAATATTGGATTGGAAAAATTGAGAGATACAGTAGATAAAGTAGAAGAATTACGCGTCAGCTTGAATATCAAAGAAGGTGAACTAAAAGCGAAGAACGCCGAGGCCGAGGAGAAATTGAAAATTATGCTTATCGATCAACAGAAAACCGAGACCAAGAAAGAAGAAGCCCGCAAACTTGAAGAAGTACTTCAACAACAAAAGATCGCTATTGAAGAAAGGCGAACGGTAGTAATGAATGATTTGGCAAATGCAGAGCCGGCCGTTGAAGAAGCAAAGAAAGCCGTCAGTGGTATTAAGAAGCAACATCTTACCGAAGTTCGTCATATGAATAACCCACCCGCAGCTGTCAAGCTTGCAATCATGTCCGTATGTACTTTACTCAACTTCCCAGTAAACGCTTGGAAGGACTGCCAGAGTGTCGTTCGCCGAGACGATTTTATCGCCAACATTGTCAACTACGATACTGACAAGAATATGACGAGACAGATAAGAGAAAGGATGAAGTCCGAATACGTTAACCAGAAAGAATATAATTACGACACCGTCAACAAAGCGAGCAAAGCTTGCGGTCCATTAGTTAAATGGGTAACAGCTCAAGTAGGCTACTCTGAAATCTTGGATAGAGTTGGTCCACTGCGGAATGAAGTCATGGGCCTACAAACACGTCAGGAGACCACCGAAGCACATGCAGAGGCAAACCGTAAAATGATTGCTGATTTGGAAAAGAAGATTGAGCAATATAAGAAAGATTATGCTGACTTAATCAGAGAAACAGAAGGAATTAAGGCCGAAATGGAGCAGGTGAAGAGTAAAGTTACACGCAGCGAAAAGTTGCTTGATAGTTTAGGATCCGAGAAAACAAGATGGGAATCCGGGAGTCAAGCATTCGAAACACAAATGGGAACAATCGTTGGTGACGTTATATTATCAGCCGCTTTTCTTGCGTACGGTGGTTACTTTGATCAACAATATCGTGAAGTTCTTCTGAACAAGTGGATAAACCATTTGATAGCTGCTGGTGTCTCATTCAAAAGTGATTTGTCGTTAACAGAGTATTTATCTTCTGCTGACGACCGATTGTCATGGCAAGCAAACTCCCTACCAGCAGATGATTTATGTACAGAAAATGCTATCATGCTGAAACGTTTCAATAGATATCCGCTCATCATCGATCCTTCCGGCCAAGCAACTGCCTTCTTAATGAACGAATACAAGAACAGGAAGATGACGGTCACCAGTTTCTTGGACGACTCATTCATCAAAAATCTAGAATCTGCGCTACGTTTCGGAAATCCATTGCTGATCCAGGATGTCGAACATCTGGACCCTATTCTTAATGCAGTCTTGAACAAAGAATTGCGTCGCACTGGAGGTCGTGTTCTAATTAGATTAGGAGGACAAGATATCGATTTCTCTCCGTCATTCACACTCTTTTTATCGACACGTGATCCTTCCGTTAATTTCCCTCCGGATGTATGCAGTCGTGTGACATTTGTTAACTTTACTGTCACTCGTAGTAGTTTGCAGAGTCAATGCCTCAACCAAGTTCTTAAAGTTGAACGACCCGACACTGACAAGAAGAGAACGGATCTAATTAAACTGCAGGGAGAATTCAAATTGAAATTAAGACATCTAGAGAAATCACTTTTACAAGCTTTAAATGAATCTAAAGGCAACATTTTGGATGACGCTAAAGTTCTTGATACATTAGAAACACTAAAGAAAGAAGCAGCAGAGATTACCCGTAAGATTGAGGAAACAGAGACTATAGTTCAGGAAGTTGAGCAGGTCACAACGGAATACACACCTCTTGCTTCGGCATGTAGTTCCGTATTTTTCGTTATGGAACAAATGAATCTTCTCAACCATTTCTATCAATTTTCACTTGAATACTTTTATGAAATCTTCCAATCCATTCTTCACAATAACCCAAATCTCCAGGACGTCACAGACAATAGCAAACGTTTGAATATTCTCTCTCGTGATTTGTTCAATGTTACTTTCCAAAGAGTTTCACGCGCTTTACTTCACGATGACCATATCACATTTGCTCTCTTATTGTCTCAAATCAAACTGCGTGGTACACCTGACCAGGTTGATGAAAACGAATATGATTTCTTGCTGAGTGGTGGAGACGTTGTCCCTGGTGTTAAAGTTAGTCCAGCAGATCTCGGAATATCGGAGGATCTCTTTGACTCGGAACAAGCGGCGCGCATAAAAGAATATTCCACACTTCCCTGCTTTAGAACTCTTGCTGATGAGCTTTCTGACAACGAGGATCAATGGGAGCAATTCATGAAAGATGATGCTGCCGAGAATTCAATCCCAACATTCTGGGAATCTAATTTACCTGGTATGTATAGGAAGAAGCAAATATCTATCGCCTTATTGTATAATATCTTACATTTACCTAACTTCATGCATTTTATTATTTTATTAGAATCGGTTAATCAGCTGCGCCGAATGCTTCTTATCAAATGCCTAAGACCCGACAGACTCATACCTGCCGCTAAAACATTCGTTAGTGATGTCTTTGACTCAAACTTCCTTGGTCAAACCGAGTTGGATTTCAAGGCTATGGTACTGGAAGAAGTTCAACCGACAACACCTATATCACTTTGTTCTGTGCCTGGTTACGATGCCAGTTATCGAGTAGATAATCTTGTTGCAGAAGTAAACGTTCGCTGCACGTCAGTTGCTATGGGCTCTCAAGAAGGCTTTACGTTAGCCGATCAAGCGATCAACTCCGCCATTAAGACAGGTCAATGGGTGTTATTGAAGAACGTACATCTTGCTCCTTCGTGGCTCGGTCAACTAGAGAAGAAACTTCATAGTATGAAAGCAAACAGAAACTTCCGCATATTCCTCACGATGGAAACAAATCCTAAAGTGCCTGTGAATCTCCTTCGCTTATCACGCGTTCTTATGTTCGAACCACCACCGGGAATCAAAGCAAATCTTCAAGATTCACTCAAAGGCATTACGCCAGCACGTGTTCGCAAAGGTCCAACTGAGCTTGCCCGTTTGTATTTCTTGCTTGCTTGGTTACACGCGATTGTACAAGAGCGTCTTCGATATGTTCCACTTGGTTGGACGAAGGTGTACGAGTTTAACGATTCCGATCAGGACTTTTCCATTAACACAATCGATGCCTGGCTGGACAGTATTGCGCAAGGCCGATCGAATATCTCGCCCGATAAGATTCCGTGGGATGCTTTGCGTACTTTGATCACTACTGCTGGTTATGGTGGTCGTATCGATAACGAATTCGACAAGCGTCTTTTGGAATCTTTTGTAAACACGCTCTTCACCCCTGCTGCTTATGACCTTAACTTCCCTCTTGTCGATGCTGACGATGGCAATCTTCTACGAATACCAGAGGGCACAAAGATTGAGCAGTTTATAATGTGGGTCAACAAATTACCTGATAGAGAGCCTCCGGCATGGCTGGGTCTACCAAGCAATGCAGAAAGAGTCTTGGCAACTACACAAGGTTATGCCATGTTAGGCAAAGTTCGTAAAATGAAGAGCATAAGTGATGATGATGAAGTAGCATATTCGCAAGAATCCAATGCAAAGAATGCAGGACCGTCTAGCCAACCATCGTGGATGCGCCAGCTATCTGCTGCCGTGAACAACTGGTTAAGTATGTTGCCAGAGAAACTCAGTTCGATGCAGAAGACTGCTGATAGTATCAGAAACCCGCTGTTCAGATTCTTTGATCGTGAGAACTCTATTGGCCGTAATCTTCTCTCGAAAGTCAGACAAGATTTGAATGATATTGTAAAAGTTTGCGAGGGCGAATTAAAACAGACGAATCATTTGCGTATGCTGTTGGGTTGTTTGACTAAGGGTGAGTAATGACAAAGTTTGCTGTACCATCTTGCCGAAGGCTTCGCTTCGGTTGCCGGAGGACTGTGATTTACAAGATCCTCAGTCGTTGGATTAACAAGGAGTA